AGTAAAGTAGAGAGTAAAGAATCAGTTTGTTGTTTAAGTTGGAGGTGGTAATCGAAAGATTTAGGAAAAATTAATTTTCGAACCTTTTGTATACGAATATCCAGTATAAATGATTCAAATTTTTCGACAAATGATAACCTACATACGAGCCGCTCATTTGCCAAATCGGTTAACTCCGCTAAACAAGAAGTCGAGAAAATTGGTGAAATTATATTACATCAAATATAAATATTAATATCTTTTATAAAAAATAACAGCTAAATTCTTATAAGCGTTTCAATTACATTATTACAACGATTTACTTTGGAGTATGAAGTTAATCACATTGGTTTGTGAAATAAATGATTTGTTATTCAACGGTCATAAAAATTTTCGTCATTTAGTGGTGATAAGCTTAATAAAGAAGGAAATTTATTTTAAATATAAAAAGATAAACGCCAATCAAATGTTTTGGTATTAAAATGTAAAAAAATTTGGAGTTAATGAAAATATGAAAGCATTCAAAATGGAGGCTAGATGCTGTGTATGTAGAGTAACCTCCAAAATTATCTCCACAAACAAAGGATTAACTGAAATATAAAGGGTGCAGAAGTAATAAAGAATTTTCGATAATTTTTCATTAAAAAAATGTATACAATTGAGACAATGAACTAATAGAATCATAAAACAAAATAATAAAATTTTATAATCATGCAAAACGAAGTGTAACGATTTCTTGCATTAATGAAAATGGAAATCAAATTATTGGCACATTTGGTAAAATTTCGTTGTTTAGGGTATTTCTACTTTTTATTTACTAAATTTTTCAAGTCATTCTAGCGTCAGTTTTATTATTAACATAACGCTTACATATTCTATTATCAAATGCATTTTTTATAGGGTAATTCCGGGAGAGATGGACCGGCGGGATAGACGGACCAGGCAAGTATTTCCTACATTATCCATAAGGCCATTACCCACATTATCCTACATTAGGCCATATGTGGAACGCGTCAGTATTCTTTTGTTTTACGGAAAGCGATCGAGAAGAAAATACTTGCCTGGTCCGTCTATCCCGCCGGTCCATCTCTCCCGGAATTACCATTTCAATAGGATTGAGATCTAGCGATTGGAGAGTTGTATTTATGATTTTTTGGGCAATTTTGCATAATTTTTGAATCATGCTTTTGTAAAATATATCGTTTTACTTATAGTCTCAGTAATAAATTGTTACGTGTCTACAGCATAGTAACTAATACACTCTTGAATGATTACATCTTTACCCCTGTGTACGTAACTAGAGTATAAAATTTTTTCGAGATCTCTTCATTTGGTTTTCTCTAAATTTTCACACGGTTATTCAATATCCCATTAAATTTACTTTTATCCTAGAATATTGAGTTACATCAAAACTGTAGAGATAAACATTTCTTCTTTTACTAATTATACATTTTACAGCTTAGCAAGTTCAATTCATTTTTTCGTATTTGCGACAGCTTCGTGTGGTTTAAATTCTGGGTATCCTACTAATTATTTAATGATTTTGAACTGTTCCATTGCGTACAGTTCTTCGTGAGAAATTCTAAAGAAGAGCATTAACTGCACATATTTTTGGATCTGTTTTACCATTGAATACAATAAAAGGTACTAACATGGGGAATACTATACACTATACTGTCAACTTTCTTGTAAGTCTTAAAATAAATCATTTTTCTAATTTGAACGTTAATGAAGTTACTTAAAAAAGGTGCAAATATTATTTTTACCACATGAGGCGCAGTATGCGCAGTTAATGTCACAAAAAATTAATGTTAGTATGCCAGGGTTAATATAATAAAATGATTCCTTCTACCGCGATTTATTTTATTTTCAAGTTTTCCCACGCGTTTTTACCGTTTAGTAATACTTCGTATAACTAGATATCGCTAAATTCTCTTATATGCAAAGTGATTTCTTTCTCTTTTCTCATTAGTAACATGTTACTGAAACACTGCACTTGTTTTTACTTCAGTTATTAATTACAAGTAAACTGTGAACTGAACACTGTAATAGATTGTAATTAAACAACAAAGATAAACTTACGGAGGTCAGAATGATGTAAATTAAATGTTATTCGTAGAACGCATTGTGCGCTGATAGTTTTGTGACATAAAAACGTGTAAGGAACTGTTACGCTTACTCGTGATTTTCCCATAATTGTAAATCACGAATGCGCCGTTTTCTTTTTTCAATAGTTTCATTCATTCGAAGTCTAAACTATACTATTTTCTAATAAAAAAATATTAAAATTTCGACTCATTGTATATGTATAATAGATGAAATCCTTCGTATTGCTTTTATTACAATGTGAAAATTTTATCATTTCCGTACTTGTAATCTAATTTTTATCAAAACGCATACACTTCTTTAATAAGGGTCACTGCTTAATAAACAGAACTAAAGATAAACCGAAGTCGATTGATACAAGCAAACCTTAGAATTGCGTCTGCATTTTTCTATAATTCGCTTCATTTTCAGAAAAAGTAATTACCATAATCGGGTTTCAAATTCATCCGCTACTCTCGTTTCTTTCTCTTTTTAAACGATTAATTTCAATCTTTATGGCAACTCAGGTTCAACTGTCTCAACTGAAACTGGAAATCTTCACCCCATCAGGAACAATTTTTATTTTATTTCATTCACAATATTCCATCGTTTAGCTTTTGCCACTTTATATGTTTTATTTGTCACTATATTTGCTATTTCAATAAATATCGTGAATAAAGGATTGTTCGAATCGGTAACGAAGAATTTACCAATTTATGATTCACACAGACTGCATGGTTTAAAAACACAATAATAATATTAAAAACAATGTGTAACACGTGACATTACTGCATCAGCAATGCACAGAAGAAATTTTAAGAATTATGCAGATAACAAAATTAACAAGAACAAAAAATTTCTCACAAGTTTTTCATACGAAAGTGATCTAGTAATACGATATAAAAATGTTAATATAAAGAATCGATGAGTCAAATGATACATAAATCACATCATCGACAATAATAATACATGACAGTCAATTTTGCAACACAAGTGTGAATTTAATGAGTGGACTTTTAAGGAAAACCAACGTTTTTGTTTAGCGAGATCTTTAACGAGCACTAAATACTTTTCAGTTGTTAATTTTACTAACAATTTCATTTGTTACTTCTACTAAATTAAATATAAAACATTTATTAAGATAT